TCTCACAAAAGCTATATAATTACTAAACCTAATTTCCATTATGCAGGGCTCTGATAAGCCCAGAAGGCTCTCCAGAGTTGTTTGCTTCTTTAAACCAGGAGGTAACCTCAAAATATGTCTTAATCTGGTCAGTTCTACACCATGAGCAAAGGAAATGCAAACTGCTGTCAATGTTTGCTGCCAAAAGGCTTTGATCATGATGGATTTGATGTAAATGGTGATCAAGGCCGTTGTTACAAAGGACTGTCCCACAGTGTGGGAGTCTTAACATGCGCTGCAGTTTCAGTGCGCTGGTTCTCAAAGATTTCCAGTAGGCAGTGAGTGGAAAATACAGATACTTACTTATATTTACTAATGGCAGGAAAAAGAATATTTTTAATGATAAATAACAGTGGCTTTACTTCAAATGGAATTAAAAATATCATTGTAGCTGATAGCTATATGTTTTATTTTGTGGCCCTTTGAATAGACATTTTTTATGGAGCAGAAAAATGCTTCTGAGAAGGTGATCTTGGGGATCTTGTTTGCTGTGACGTAAGGCAGGAGCGCACAACTCAGCATTTTTCTTCTTTAGAAGCTTACATTAATTTATTTTGACAACATTTCCAATCCATATAGTAGGTTAGGACTATCTGTTTGTGCTACCTTCCCATTTTAGACAAGCAATGCTTTGCGTGAGACTGTTAATTTGGCAAAGGGCATGGGTTCACATTTGGTTTTCATAGACTGATAGATTTAAAGGCCAGAAGAGACCATTATGATCATCTAGTCTGACCTCCCACTTCAATCAGGGCACAAACCTCACGCAATCGTTACTGCGACAAGATCGTGACTTCGGTGTGAGCTAGACAGCAGCTTAAAAAAGGCATCCAGTCCTGAGTTGCCTTCCTCTAATTTTTAGCATTAATTTTTCCGACTTCAGACTCCAGTCCCTGGATCATATCATTTTATAGGCATGCAGAGTCAAAATGAAACATCATCCTCAACTGTCCTTTTCAATTACATCTCTGTAATTTCAGCTACTTGGATTTATCCCAAGATTATGGAAATATTTATGTTGTGTAGGTATCAGACCATGCTAAATGGACAGTAAGCATTCTTCTCACTTTATACTGGATATTGTAAAAACAGTTGCAAAGCACGCATGGAATGTCAAAATCTTGGGCTAGGTCTGCATTGGTAAGTCAGGAAGCATTCAGCCTGGCTTTTGCTTTTTGAGAGCAGTTTGCATCCACTGAATTAACATGTGTGAAGCCTGTTCACAGAGCAAACGCAGAGCAACTATTGTCCTGCTCTTAAAAACCAACCCCTACATTTCTAAGATCAGTTTTTAATAGACAGATAAAAATGAAAATTGGCAAGTGGCAAAAAAGATAAGGAAAGGCAGGTGCAAATGTTTAAGCAATTATGATTTACTTGGAACATTTCCAAAAATACAGTTGTAATTTGGTTCACCTAAGAGAACAACAGTAGAAGATTAGTGGGAGGAAGGAAGATAACTTTGAATAAGCTTATTCTGCCACTCGTTTTCACATGTACTCATCCTAATGTGAGAGCACACTTTCTCCAGACGTAAAACGTGCCTACAATTCAGTATCCCAGGAATTCTGATCTACAGCACTGGATCAATTTTTAAGATGGCCAGAGTTTCAAATCTGGCATTGAAGTTTTACACAAACTGGGAAGTTTCAGGTGTGGATGTGAAATGGGTTTGCGACACTTTGGAAAGTCTGTGAGCAAACTTCTGTTTCTGAAATTTAAACATCTTTCAGGCCCTTCTGACTCCCCCTATAAGGAATAAAGAAAGAGGGCAGGGCTTGAACTCTGCTTCTGGTACCTAATATCATGTGTTAGCCAAAGTGGTGCCATGGTCCATATGGGAATAGAATAGGGGAAAGAACTAAAGGAAGGTATTGCCAAGAGAAAATCTGGGTAAACATACTGCAAGAATTGATTGAGTTTTACGACCTTTAAAACTTTCAAGTCAGGCCACTTTTAACAGCTGCCATTCAGTACTTGCGTAGTGAAACTGGAAAGATTGACATTAATTGCAGAAAGCAGCTGCCAGGTTCTTGCTATCTTGTAAAGCATTAATATAAACTGATGTTCTTCAACAAAAGTGTAACAAAATTCTGATAATTCTTGACTTAAAAAGACCCCAACCTTTTCTGTACCAATCTGCATGGAAACAAAATTCCCGGCTTCCCAGTTTGAAAATGATACAGTTTGAGGAGCTGGAGCATGGGAATGCATTAACTCCAGTTTTTGTAAGGCAACTCACTTGTTCAGTGGTTATCCTCCATTTTCGCAGCTGGGAAATGCAGAGGACATCAAGGGACCTGTGTAAAACCATAGTAATATATGGTTTATGTTTATATTCACTGGATAGGAAACTAACTCTAAAATTTTGTTCTTTATCCAGGATTTGGAAATATCCTGGATATAATAATCTACATATAATCTATGGGTAAATAAATTTCTGTTTCAGAGAAAAATACTTACTCTTCATGTATTAATGGCCTTAGTTGAAGACAATTTCAGGTTATTTAAAATCACTGCAGTGTTCTACAAGAGAACGTTTTTTCTTCATAGTATGTATAGGTCCTGACTGTTAGTATTTATGATGTCCAATAATACATTTTAAATTAGGCAATCTCGATCAAGAATATACATTTTCATTTTAAACCTTTTAGTATAAAATATTAGAACATTACATAATGAATATATGAGCGTAAGAAGGGTACATAAGTATAATTTCACGAGTATTTGCACATTTGGATCCCCTTAACAAACTGATTTTTAAAGACAAAGGTTATCTGATATTGTAACTATATATGGTATTTTGACTTTGCATGTGAGTCTCAGCTCTACAAAGGAATATCTAACAGCACAGCAAACATGCCTTTGCGATTAAATGATCGTTCACAGTAGAGCTTAGGGAAATGTAAGATACAGCTCAAACTGTTTGGTAAAGAATGCCCATTCTTGTTACTCTTTATTTTAATGGGCTATAAAATAAATGCAGTGTAGAAGGTATTTTTACAGCCAGAGCTTGTGATACACGATACTCATGGCTGTGCTGGGAAGAAAATGCCAAAATTACGTACTTCAAACACCCATCACGCTTCTCGGAAGGGTTATATACGTAAAGCCGTCAAAATCCTGTGCTATCTTTAATGGAACAGGACTGACGGCTCCTCCGGTGTTTACAGCATCAGCCATGGTGAATGCCAAAGTACGTAAGGTTCAGCAATGATGTACTGCCAGCTTCATTTGTTTGTAGCCATATGCAAGGAGGAGTAAGGAGACTGCAGGGCTGCAGAAAGGGAGGGCAAGGAACAAAGAGTTTTAAAACAGCGTGAAATAGGCGAGGAGTATCAGCGCCAGAAAACACACAGACACGTACATTAAACGTGTGCATGGAGGTGGGGAAGGATGAGAGAAATCAGGTGAGTTAATGATAGCTGAAGGGACTTAAGCAATGGAATAGATACATCGGGGGGAAGAGTAGTAGGGTGAAGAAGAGAAGTCCATTAATAAAAGATGAGGAGGGATGAAATTAATGAGAGCTCTGCAGAGACACCACAGCCCTTGGGGGGGTACAAGCAGAGGGCCCAGTTCTGGTATTCCTGTTCAGCACTTCCTAGGTACTGGGGACTGCTCCGAGGACAAAGAACAATTAAAAGGCAGGGACTGACAGCCTGTCAGGAATACTAAGCAAGGGACTAGTCTCGCACACTTACATAGGTGAATAACGATAAGAAACAGCTTGTCATGCCAGCATTCCCCAGTTTTTTTCAAAATGAAATATATACCCCTGAAATTACTGAAATAAGTGAATGTTTATAGTCAGGACTCTTTTTAATGGCTTGCCTCTTTTTTCTTCTTCCTTTTTGTGTATTTAAGTTATATTTACAGGGCTTTTTTATCTCTGTGGAAACTTTGCATTTGATGCAAAAAAAAGGACTTTTCATGCCCATGTGCTTCCAGAAGATGGAATTTCATGTAAAACAGCAGCTATCTTGGGATGTGCAGTAAAAAGCAAGGAGCTGGTGACTGCAAATTCCACGGTGCATGGCAGGGTCCTGGTCCCAAGGCAGCCAGACCAGGGGGTCATAGCTGTCACAGACCTGCTCCTCCTCACGGGCTTGGATTTCCTTCCTGTTGATACGGAGGGGAGAAGGGAGGCTGAAATGTTTGTTGCTAGATCTCAATCTCACATGCAATTGCGTAGTGGCCAGGATGTGGCCTCAGATCTGGAAACTGGAAAGCACTCTGATCTCCCACAGTTGCAGATATTTATTGCAGCCATAATCAGTTGATAAACACAGACCCAAGCCACAAGTTCTTTCTTAAGGACGGTTAGTGAAGGCACAATCTGTGAGTAGATATTTCATTTTTATGCGTAGAAATGATGTTTTTCTTTAGAATTATTTATTAAAAAATATAACTCTTCTGAACTAGGGAATTAAATCAATTAGATCAATGCCCCCCAGTGTTGCGAATCCCAAGAAGAAAGTGCTGACCCATCTACTGGGTCCTTAGAAGTACAGTCCCAAAGGGGCACATGCTTGGAGACCTCAGTTAGTAGCAGGCTTTTAAATTCAGACGTTAGACTGAGAGCAGGAAATAAGGAGTCAAAAAGTGTTCTCAACTAAAATAAACCACTTTTTTTTGGGTGAAACATTTTTAGCTTCCCTGCTCTTCTTTTTACTCCTTTTTTTCCCCCCGACTAAAACTAATTGCTTAATCTAGTTTTTAGTAGGTCCTTAGAAACTCTATTTTCTAGAACTCGCTCTTATCTTGAAGTTTTCTGCTCTCGTGTCTTGCCATACTTGATGCATAGACAAACCGTGTAATGGAACATATCGAAATTAAAGTCTCATGTTCATACCTGAATTACAAAATTCAGATCCTGAAGATACAGCCATTTTTCAACTGTTCACCTAAACATTAGATCCTTCAAAATGCTAATGTGTTCTTTTCTTTCTTTTTGACAGCAAAATTTGGAGAGTAACCTCACCAACCTTATTAAGAGGAATACTGAACTGGAAACTCTTTTGGCAAAACTCATTCAGACCTGTCAACATGTAGAAGTGAGTACTGACGTCCACTTGAAATACTTGCAAACTTAATTACGTTCCCTTCTAGCGTTCAGGAATGAAAGTTTAAACAAAAAAAAACCAAGGACAGAACTAAATTAAAGTAGTGGTAAACTGATTTGAAGCTTTTTCACTGATAAATGGTATTCTAAATACAGATGACCTCCTTTACCTTCCTTTCCATCCCCTTTTAATTACATATTTGTGTGGCCCCCACCACTGCTATACTTGAGCACATCACTCACTATCAGTAACACATTTATCTTTTGGGTCCTCTGTGAGGTTGAGTAATATTTACAGGTGGAAAACTAAGGCAAAAAAATAGTAATGCCCAGATCCACAACAATATTTAGGTTTCTATTGGCCATTCATTTTTTTTTTTATCAGAATTAAGTATCTAAAATACATATGTGGACTCAAAAGTTATACATGAAATATATTTATCTTCAGAAGAAAAAAGATGCTTACAGTCCTTTGGGTTGCCTCAGTTACATATTCCACTTTGAGTATCACAGAAAATCTTTAGCAGGGAGGGATTTGAATCCATATTTCCCCAAAATATGGGGGATTTTTTAGATGGCCCCATGAGGGCTGCTGTTCTCATGCAAATTAAAATAGAGTAATTGAGTCATGGGAAGAGATCAGAGTCCAAAGTAGATTATTTTTTGGCAAAACTTTTCTTTTTACTTTTTGCCACGCTGTAAGACCTTTCCAGTTCCTTATAGTACATTCAGGTCAACAAAACCAAAACCATTATGAACCTTCTATATCATAATAAACTTGCAAAAGACAACATGAGTTTATGCTTTCTGCCAGGAAATATTATACGAACATCCCCATGGCATTAAAACTTTATCAGCAGTGCTTTCCTCATTGTCAGTCTCAGCCATGAGTCCCAGGTGAGACCCCAGATACAAAACACTTTTACACCTCCTCCAGGTAAATTGTGGCTGAGAAACACTGGAAGACTAGGAAAGGCTCAGCATCATGAGACACATGTGCTTGTTGACAGATATACTGGATTCATTGAGATACACCAAGTTCATCATTTGCAGTGCTATCAGTTTTCATAAGTTCTAAACTCAATTTAAGATGGCATGGGAAAGTTAATGGGGTAGGAATCAGAGGAGCTGGCACAACATAAACACTGCTGATTTGAAGTGGAACAAGCTTTAGACCACAATCACAGAGAGAAGAGATTTTCAGTTGAACTGTTGATTGCTGGCCAGTTTAGCAGGGAAAACTTATTTTCCCTATGGAAAATGGTTGGGTTTTTGTTTTCATTACAATTCTGTCTGTTGACCGGCTTCTGGATAGAACCATTTCACTTCTGACTGCATTGCAATTCCTGCAGCAGCTTTGTTTATTCAGAGAAGGACGCACTGTATGTTCCTAGCAGACAGGCAGCATTAAATAATAATAGTTTTGTGTAGAAAAGGTATTCCACTTTGAGTGTGGTTGTCTATATATGTGAAAGGAAGCCAGGTGTCTTCACCAGTGTTACCTGAGGAATAGCCCTGGGGAATTTGAGAAGGGAAGGTAGTCTTAACCCAGAGCTTCTGAAACATGGATATAATTTAAGAGAAAGTTAGCTGTGAGATGAACTGCTGTAACCACAGCCACCTGCCAGCTCTGCAGAAAGGCACTTGGTTTTTCGAGAAGCCTTTTTCTTCCTTATAAAGTCCCATGGAAGTTCTCCATAGGGCTGCTTCCCTTCTGTCCTTTTCAGACTAAAATTCAGTGACCTAATTAAGCCCAAGAGGAACTTTTGCTTGTGGACAGATTCAAAGTCACATCTTAAGAATTTGTACCTTGTTGACTTAAGTACCTTGTTGACTGTGGTAATGGCACATGCTGCAGAAAAAAAAAGGGGGAAAAATCCACCCAAAAAAACAGAGCAAACTGTACCAAAAAACAAACAGACCAAAAAAACCCAAGACTGTTCTTTCAAAGAGATCATCTTATCCGTTTTTCTATCTGCTCCACCTCTGTGGAGCCTCAATGACTTCATGGGGCTCAACAAAACCATGAAAGTCTGCCCACAGAATCAGACGTGAGGTGAATGGTTTGAGTTCTTTGCATAGGCAGCAATAACGTCAGGCAGAACAACTGTACTATCAGCTGGAATGACCGTAGTAGGTAATGAGAGGCAGAGATACGGCACGCTTTCTTCCTCTGTATATAAAACTTGGAGCAAAACCCATGAAGCAGATGGGCTCAGGACAGCATAAGGCCTCTTCTTCATTGGTGGCCTGTGTCCAAGATGGGCTACATCTGGAAAATTTAAAATCGCTCCTCCTTCTCCTCTGCAATTCTGCAGTATATTACCAGCTCTAAGGTTTAGTATTACAAAAAACCCAACTTGTTCAACTGGTAACAGATGCGCTACTGTCCCTGGAGTCCTGTTTTAGAAAATTTCTCTGTAGACATAAAGCAATAGCGACAAAGTTGTTAATGAATTCCTACCACGTTTTAGTCATCAAATTAGTCTAATTAGCATTTAAATTAGCTAAATATTAAGAAATGAGCTTCAGTCAAAACCCTGGACCTAGGCCGCGCTGGAAATGGGGCAAGTGGGGATGTGGAAGTAAACTTTAAAGCTATCTCTGTTTCTCAGAGCTCTGTGAAAATTTCAGATATGATGTGAGTATCTCCAATGTTAAAGAAGCTGAGGCTTAGATAGATTTTTTAAAAGTCAGTATGCTCTCTTTCTTTATGCTTCTTCGTGACAGAAATTCATCTCAAACCAGGAATGCGAATGGAGCAAACAGTATATTGATTGTAACATTAATGTTACAAGTTTAAAATTACAAAATATTAAGAAAAGAAAAGCTGAAGTTTCCAATGACTGTATTAGTTGTGCCATATGAACTCACTCAAAGGTTGAAACCGAGCAGATACTTAATTTTATAGGAAGTGTTTTCTTTTTCATTTCTCGATACAATGTATTACAGGTAATTATGTACAATATGTTGTGTACAATTTGTAAACGTGCAAAAGCATAGGTAGTAGACTTTAAAAACTGCTGTTGTGTACTTTGATTTTCCTTACCCAATTTTAAATCATTTTAATAATATTATTTTAATGTTGATTTAGATTTCTGGGGTTTAAAACCAGTTGGAAAAAAAAAAGAAAAGAAACTTTGGGTTTCACACATAGTTTGAACTTTAAAAAACAAGGAAGGAAAGGAAATTATTATTCCTTGTGTTAAAGTTACCAAGTTGTTATTATTATTATTATTATTATTAGATATTTATATTT